TTGATAGGCCTTTGAGTTATTTCCACATTTTGGCTGTTATGACTCACACTTCTACAATCATTCATGTATAAGTTTCTGTGTAGACATGTTTTCAATTCTCTTGGGTATAAACCAAGGAGTGGACCTGCTAAGGTCATATGGTAACTCCATATAACATTTTGAGGAACTACTAAACTGTTATCCACAGCATTTAGACACTTCACATTCCTACTATCAGTGTATGAGAGTGCAGTTCTAATTTTTCTACATCCTCATCAACACTTATAATTATCTGACCTTTTTATTCTAGTCATTCTAGTATGTGAAGTGGTATCTCATTTGTGCTTTTGAATTGCATTTCCCTAATAATTACTAATGTTGAGCCTCTTTTCATAGGTGTATCTATAGAATGAATTGTGTCCCTCCAAAATTCTATGTTGAAGTTCTAACTCCTAATGTGACTGTATTTGGAGACAGGGCTTTTAAGGAGATAATTAAGGTTAAATGAGGTTGTAAAGATGGGATGCTAGCCAACCGAGTGGCTCAGTTGATTAAGAGCTCATTCAAGAGTTTGAGCTCTGAGCAACAGCCGTTTGATGCCTGGCCCGAGCTGAGCTACCGCTAAGCTGCCAATAGGTAGCAGGATGGCTCAGCTAAAAAAAATTAAAAAAAAAAAAAAAAAAGAATGGGATGCTAATCCAACAGGATAGGTGACCTTCATAATAATAGGAAGCGGTACCAGAGATATCGCTCTCTGAGCATGCACAGAGAAAAGGCTGTGTGAGGACACAGTGAGAAGGCAGCAGTCTACAAGCCAGGAAGTGGTTGCACCAGAAACCAACCCGAGGACACCTTGATCTTAAGACTTTCATCCTTCACAACTGTAAGAAAACAAATTTCTGTTGTTTAAGCAACCCAGTCTGAAGCATTTTTTTTACTGTAGCCCTAGCAGACAATACAGTGAGCTTACTGGTCATCTCCATATCTTCTTTGGGAAAATATCTATTCAAATCCTTTGCCCATTTTTCAATTGGGTTATTTTTTATTGAGTTGTAAGATGTAAGTTTCTAATCAGACATATGATTTGAAAATATTTTCTCCCATTCCATGGGTTTTCTTTTTACTCTCAATACTTTCCTTTGAAACATCAAAGGTTTTAATTTCGATGAAGTCCAATTTATTCACTTTTTCTTTAGTTGTTTCTGCTTTTAGGGTCATAGCTAAGAAACCATTGTCTAATCCAATATCGTGAAAATTTATGCCTGTTTTGTTCTAAAAGTTTTATAGTTTTAGCTCTTATATTTAGATCTGTGACCCATTTTGACTTAATATTTCATATGGTGTTTAGCAAGGGTCCAATTTCATTCTTTTGCATGTTGATATCTAGTTGACTTAGCACCTGTTTTTATTGTAGTTTTATTTTTTAAATTAAGGTATACTTGACATTAAACATTGTATTATTTCAGGTGTACAACATGATGATTTGATATTTGTATATATTTTCAGCACCATTTGTTGAAAAGACTATTCTTTCTTCTATTGAACTGTGTTGGACCCTTGTCAAAAATCAACTGGCCTTAAATGCAAGGGCTTATTTCTGGACTCCTAATTCTATTCCATCAATCTACCTGTCCATCTTTATGTCAGTAATACAGTGATGACTGTAGCTTTGTGGTAAATTTTGAAATAAGAAAATGTAAGTCCTCCGAACTCTGCTCCTCTCTTTCAAACTGATTTGGCTATTCTAGATCCCTTGAATTTCTGTATAAATTTTAGGATCAGTCCACCAATCTCTGTAAAAAAGGCAGTAGGATTTTGATAGGGATTATATTAAATCTGTTGATTAGTTTGGTGCATATTGCCATCTATTACAGGTAGGATTATATCCCCCAAAAAGATATGTTGACATCCTAATCCCTGATATCTCCGAATGTGACCATATTTAGAAATAGGGTCTTTACAGATATAATCAAGTCAAAATGAGGTCATACTGGATTAGGGTAGTCCCGTAAATCCAATGACTGGTATCCTTATAAGGTCATATGAAAATAGCTTTGATCATTTTCTATGAAAAAGATATTAGAATTTTCATGAGCTCAGTTAACTTCCTTTTATGTCTCCTCAGGGTTCTTTCTTCATGGAAGATTAAGCTACAAATAATGGCTTGACAAAAATAAAATAGTAGACTGAGGGATTATTTATATGGCTCTCCATCTCAAATGAACTCCCTAGAACTGTATGAACCTGACTAGAAATTGATTTGAATGCATTTCAAAATAAAATCTGTACTCGGGGGAAAAAAGGTCATATGAAGGCATAGAGATACAGACTCACAGGGGAGAAGCTTAGTGAAGACAGAGACAGAGAAATGCATCTACAAAAGCCAAGGAACACCAAGGACTACCAGCAACCACCAGAAGGTAGGAGAATGGAATAGAACAGATTCTCCCTCTGAGCCCCCAAAAGAACCCAATCTTGCCAAAACCTTTAACTTTAGACTTCTAGTCTCCAGAATTGTGAAAGAATAAATTTCTGTTGTTTTAAGCTATCCATTTGTGGAAATTTGTTATGGCAACCCTACGAAACTAATACACTATCTAAACAATATTAAATTTTCCAATCCATGGGCCAGCCGAGTGGCTCAGTTGGTTAAGAGCTTGCTCAAGAGTGCGAGCCCTAAGCAACAGGGTTGCTGGTTCAATTCCCACATAGGCCAGTGAGCTGCGCCCGAGCTGAGCTGCCGCTGAGCTGCCAACAGGTGGCAGATGGCTCAGCTGGTAAAAGCACATGCTCCTAACTACAAGGCTGCCGGTTCGACTCCCGCATGCAATGGTGGCTACGCACACCAGTAACTAACTGAACACAGCACCTTGAGCTGAGCGGCATGACTAGACTTGGAGCTGAGCTTGCTGTGCCCTCCACAACTAAGACTGAAGGACAACAACTTGGCTGTTCCCCTTCCCCAATTCCCCAACACTGTTCCCCTCCCTCAATTCCCCAATAAAATCTTAAATAAAAAAATAAAAACAGGGCCGGCCAAGTGGAGCATTCGTTAAGAGCTGGCTTGGGATGCCAGAGGACCCTGGTTCAGATCCCACATGTGAGGGCCAGTGACACTGCCCTCTACAGCTAAGATGCTGAACAACAGCTCAACTTGGAGCTGGGCTGCCGTGAGGCGCTGACGAAGGCGCAGGCTGCAACCCCCGCTGCAGTAGGTTGCCATGGGCTACCGTGTGTAGCCAGCAACCAGTGTGAGCGGCCAGCAGCCACAGTGAGCTGCCGTCCAGAAGCCGGCGACTGATCTGCCTCGCCCGGGAAGAGCGCAATGATGGTGCCAACTTGAGCCAGTGAAGCAACGTCCTCCACAACTAGACTGAAGAACAAAACGACAGCAACTTGTCTGTTCCCCTTCCCCCAATTTCCCAGTGCTGTTCCCATCCCCCAATTCCCCATTAAAAAAAAAAAAAGTCTTAAAAAAAATAAAAAATTAAAAAAAACCAATCTTCCGATCCATAAACATGAGATGTCTTTCCATTTATTTAGGACTTCAATTTCCTTTGAAGTTTTATAGTTTTCAGTGTACAAGTCTTGTACTTTTGGGGCTAAATTTATTGTTAAGTATTTTATTCTTTGTGACGCTATTGTAAATGGAATTGTTTTCTTGATTTCATTTTTAGATTCTTCATTGCTAATATACAAATACAAATGATTTTTCTATATTGATCTTGTATCCTGCAACTCTGCTGAACTAGTTTATTAGTTCTAATAGTTTGTGGATTCCTTACGTTTTTCTATACATAAGATCACTGTCACCTGCAAACAGAGATGGTTTGACCTTTTTTCTTTTTCTTTTTTTTTCTTACCTAACTGTCCCAGCTAGACTCTCTAGGGCAATATTAAATAGAAGTGGGAAGAACAGACAATCTTGTTTTGTTCCTGGTCTTAAAAGAAAAGCATTTAGTCTTTCACCATTGAGTATGATGTTAACTGGGTTTTTCATAGATGCCCTTTATCAGGCTGAAGAAGTTCCCTTCTGTTCCTAGTTTATTTAGAGTTTTATGAAAGGGTGTTGGATTTTGTCAAATGCTTGTCCTATGCTCCCTGCTATAATCATGTTATAAGATATGAACACAATTAGAACTAATTTTATACTTTGGTAAATAACTTAATGTCAATTTTTCTTATTCTCTATATAATCCCTCCCCTAAAGAACCTCAGAGAGTTTCCTTACATACATGTTAGTAATAAAGTTTGACAATTATTCAATTTAACTACTGCTTTTTCTTTAAAATACTATAAATGTACAAGTAAGTTGGATATATTTTGGCTTTTAGGGGCAAATAAATAAAGGGCACAGACCAGTCTCCAAAAAACTCACAACCCCAAGATCAAATAAGTAACCATTTTAATAGATAACAGTAAACCTAAACAGATGAATAACATATGTATACACAAGGGATGGCGGAAGGAAAAGGAGATTCGCAAAGTATATAAACTCGTTATTTATAGGATACAGAGGAGTTATTCCAGAGACAAAGGGAGAAAGGAGGAAAGGGTATTCTGCATGAGAGTGTTATGTACGAAGGAACAGAAGTGAGAAAACACATGCAATTCTATGTTGCTGATAAGGATTAGTGTGTGTGTGTGCGCGTGTGTGTGCACGCGTGCACTATGTGTCTGTGGCAAGAGAGAGCTGCATTACCAAGAGATAACCCGGGAGATATGGGCCAGGAGTTTCAATTTTATCCTCCTTATTCAGGATAGATTGTCATGGTCCATAACCAAGACAGAACTTTTGCTATACTTGGACCTAATGACAAAACAATGTGTTTATTCTGTTCCCTAAAGGAAAATAAAGAGCACAGAACATTGTATCATAGATATTTATATAAATATTCTCTCTCTCACTCACATATTCTGAACTTTTATCTACCAAGAGTATCATATTATTTGCTTTCTTCAAGGTTCTTTATATACTAACTTTATTTGTCATTACTGAAAAATTAAGGAATATCACCAACCTATTGCCACTTGGATACTGTACTACAATGTCATGATCTTCATCAATGCCACAAACAGTTCCAGTTGTAGTTAAAGTCTCAAACATGCCATCAGTCCATCCTCCATGACCGTGCTGCAAAGACTGTACAATTTCTAGGTCAAGATCTATATTTACCAGGTCACCAATCTGCAATCCACCAGGATTCCTGTTGCCATTCTGTTCACCTGTAAAGGAGGGAGTTGACAAAAAAAAAAGAAAGTCACAGCAACAACATGCAATTGCATTATTTTTAAACAAGAACAAGCTTATATTTTAGTTTTAGTTGTCATATTATCTAAAAACGTTTTGAGAATATACTGTATCAGAGTCCAGAATTAGAGATCTTTAAAAAAGAGAAAATATCAGACTCAAAAATTGAAATGATGTGATGATTTATAACAATGACAGAAAAGGAGCAGAATCTATAAAAGCCAATGCAACCCTGTATCAGAACACCAAGTTCTGGATGCTGAAAAATTTACTTTTTTGCCTGGATTACTTGTTGACTATCACCACATCAGAGCCAGGATAACTAACTTTAATTAAAGAGAGTCCTGGAATTACTTTTTTTTCTCTGAAGTGCTTACTACTATTTTTTACCAATGGTTTTTGTGATTTTTACCTAAATATTTTTAATATTTCAGAGCCCATTCCCTAGATTATTTTCAAAGCTAGTTCTGGGATAAAGGATTCATGGTCATAAAACACTACATTGAGGGAGCCAAAATGTACATGGTGATTCTATACTTTTCTTGTGAAGGCAAGACACCAAACAAGAAAGTTTCGGAAAGCAAAAGAAATGATCTCATCAAAAACAGGTTTTACTTCTACATTCTCCTATTAAAAAAAAAATAAATAAAGAATGCTGCAAGAAAACAGCATTTTTTGGCAAAAAGGCAAATCCAATGACTTGGAAAGAGGAACACAGAGTTCACATGAGAAAGGGAAGCATTCAGAGGCTTATCAAAAGAATGTGGTAAATGTTCATCATAGCAACAATAAAGAATCTATGAAATGAGGGTAGTTTTGGTTTTCTTGTTCTTTTTTTATTTTAATGATATGTGAAATTATATTTTTATATTACCTTAATCTTGAAACTGTTTTTGTATTAAAAAAGCAATTATACAAAAATTCTAAGAAATTTATAAGTTTTAAATTGTCAGATCCTATTTGCAATAGTGTAAGAGATGTAACAATGATAATCTAACACAAAATTTTTCAACACTCTAAGTTTATGGTTGGGCCAGCCGAGGGCTCAGTTGGTTAAGAGTTGGTTTGGGTGCGTGAGCTCTGAGCAGCAAGGCCACTGGTTCAGTTCCCACATGGGCCAGTAACACTGTGCCCTTTACAGCTAAGATGGTGAACAACAGCTCGACCTGGAGCTGGGCTGCCGTGAGTCACCAACAAAGGCATGGGCTGCAGGGGGCTACCGTGAGCCGCCGTGAGCAGCTGTCCAAATGGCCGGCGACCAACTGCCTCAGCCAGGAAGAGTGCAATGATCACAATACCAACATGGGCCAGTAAAGCGACGTCCTCCACAACTAGACTGAAGAACCAAAGAACAGCAACTTGTCTGTTCACCTTCCCTGATTCCCCAACGCTGTTCCCCTCCTGCAATTCCCCAATAAAATCTTTTAAAATAAAATAAGTTTATGGTTAAGAGACAAAAGTTTCAAATACCTTATGACATAAATGCCATATCAATTCTCAAGCTCAGTGTCTGCATAAATCATTTAAAAAGATGAAATTCTTTAAAACAAAAATAAAACCAAAAAAGTATCCCTTTAAATAGCTTTAATGGTAACAAATCTTTTAAAAGTCCAATTTAAATGTTTTTCTGATTCCATGAACTCTGACCCATTATTTAGTAATTTTCTCTAGTCTGCTAACTCACCTAGCACAGGGCAGTGATCTCTGTAGAAAGAACCTCCTTTGGCATCCTGGACACACTTCAAATCAGACTAAGAAAAGAAAACAGAAAAATCACCCTTGAAAACTTCAAATATAGCTCAATACCTAAAATACGCAGAAATATTCATTCAAAACATACCTTCAGTGGAAGAGTAGTTCTGGGTTAACATGAATACGAGTACTAAACATTGCTTTCTAAAACACCCACCAAAAACTATAAACCTGATCTTCAGATAGGTCATACTTCATTAACTTTTAGCTTCTTTTAAAGTTCAACATTAAAATGCCTGGATCTTTACCATTATAATATTTTCAGAAACACATGCTAAAAAAAAGAGGGGGGGAGGATGACTCTAACAAATATGTAGTATTTAAAGTGTACATAACACATTCCATTTTAAAGGTATTTTCACCAAAAAAGAACTCAACTCATTTGATCTTTCTAATCAATTTTATGAGATACAGAACCAAATACAGTCCTTTGATTCCTTGTCCAGTTAATTTTACTATTTACATCAACTTGAGTCCTTACTTCACCATAACTTGGTTAATTCAAGTTCCTGCGCACTTAGCTTGTATAAGAAAACAAATTATTATTTAAGTATCTGAATTGGCAGGCAGTGGTCGTATAATGAAAAGGTACAGAAAATGTGATCTTAGAAAAGCAACTTTGGGAACTGTGAAAAAGGAGATTTACATAAAAGTTCCTAATAGTACCTGATACATATTGATGTATACATGTATGTACAATAAGTGATCAGTATATATTTATTTATCAAGGAAAGGAGCTCTTTTATATACACACACACACACACACACACACACACACACAGAACCCAACTTTTTTACAGCTCCTTTGCCATTAGAGCATCACATTTAGCTAAATCCTAACCAGAGACACAATGGTCAAATTATTTTAGTGCTATATTGAACCCAGCAATTTCACTTCTAGGAATCTATTCTAAGGAAATACACCCATATATGTGCAGAGACATATGTACAAGGATACTTATTGAAACACAGCTTGCAACAATGAAAAAAATACCCAGATACCTATCAACAAAAATCTCATTAAATAAATAATGGTACAACCATACTAAGGAATACTATTCAGCCATCAAAAAAGAATGGGAACAATCTATACATGTAATATGTATTAAGTACCTGAGCACATATAGCACGTAAGGCTTCATTTGAAGCAAGTTAGTAAGGAGTCAGCATCCTACAAAAATCCATAATTTAAAAATAAAGAGACATGAAGATTATAATAAAAAATTGATAACCAATGCTATATACAATTATAAATATTGGCAAGTAAAGTATTTGTTTAGAATCACATGGTTGGCTTTTATACATAAATGGAATAAATTAAGGTAAAAGGATAGTAGGACATTTCGCCTTCCTAAGGAGGGGCATAAAACAGTTGAAAACAAGTAAAATTTAAAGAATTCTTTCAATGAGGAATGTATTCAAGATGGAGAAAATATAAAAGGCATATACTGGCATTAATGTAATATTTAATTATACCCTATAAATTAAATAGCTGAGGTAAACATTTGAATAATGATCCATAAAAAGCAGAAATATAGGGCAATGCATTAAAAAAAACACATTATTCTCTTGAACACTGAAGTAATTCTAAGTGTTTCTAGGTCAATCATTTTCAATTATCAACACTACACTTTAAAAATACAGTGAAACAAAAATCTCCTTAAAAATAACTTTTAAGGGCCAGCCGAGTGGCTCAGTTGGTAAGGAGCTTGCTTAAGAGTGCGAGCTCTGAGCAACAGGGTTGCCGGTTCGATTTCCATATGGGCCCGTGAACTGCACCCAAGCTGAGCTGCCGCTGAGCTGCCAACAGGTAGCAAGATGGCTCAGCTGGTGAGACCGCAAGCACTTAACAAGGTTGTCAGTTCAACTCCCACATGGGATGGCAGACTACCCACCGCCCCCCGCAACTAGATCAAAAGCGGCAACTGGAATTGGAGCTAAGCTGCGCCCTCCACAACTAAGATTGAAGGACAACAACTTGACTTCCAGCTGATGGGTCCTGGAAAAGCACAATGTTCCCTTCCCCAATTCCCCAATAAAATCTTAAAAAAAAAAATTGAATAAAAATAACTTGAACACCTATTGTAATTTATTTTTATTGGCTACCAAAGCCTAGGATACAAATATATCATAAAAACCTCATTATAATACTATTTTCCATGTCCATGCCAAGGAGCAGCCTTACACATGATTCTAAATCTTTTTGATTGGTTTTAGTAAAAAACCCCTGACTTACATTTAAGGGATCAACTCTATACAATCAATATACAGTAAGTTACCCAAACATTAAATGAAGGTAAAATCAGCCTGACTATTAAATAGTTCAAACAAATGTAGTAAAAATGTAAAGTTTATTAAATTTTCACTTTATAGATTTTCCCTTCTATTGCATATCCATGATTCAGATGGCTGTATTTTGACAAAAAGAGATAACAAAAGAAAAAATAAACGAATACAAGGGATATTTTTATTTCCCTTCTTTCATCCACCCAATATTTTCATCTTTTGTGGTTCTTACTACTTACCATGCCTTCAAAACCAACTCTGTAAAGGTTCTTAGCACCATTATCCCAGAGAACATATGCTGCGCTATGTGGGCTTGATGCACTCCAGTCTTGGATTTCCGTTACCTAAGAGAATTTTTTGAGAAAATAATTTTTTAAAAAGAAAAGGGGAGGGGCTAGTTCTTTTAATTATGTTCATATCTTAAAATTTATTTAAGCTATCATCCTGTGTAACAAGATCATAAAAAATACTTATTTGCCAAATATGTCACGTCTAACATATAATTGAATTATAATCAGAGGTATTTTTCCAGAATTTTAATTTAGTTTCTAAAACCATTGTGGAAATTTTAAATTAGGAGACTTAGTGATTACAGTAATAGGTTATCAGAAAATATATTGTACAATTCAATACAAAATTTTAAATCTTTACTTTTTTTAAATTAAAATGTCTTGGGGTGACAAAATCTTTACTCTTAAAGGGTTCCTTTTATGAACAATGAATTCTCTTAAACCCATTCATTATTGAATACAGAATTTAAAATCTTTAACCAAATATCCAGAATGATTCAAGATTAACCTGCTCCCTGGTCAGCTAAAAGCTTGACAAGCACAAAGCTCAATGGCATTGAGTTGGGCCGGCCGAGTGGCGCACTGGCTAAGAGCTGGCTTGGGAACGCCAGAGGTCCCCGGTTCAGATCCCACATATGAGGGCCAGTGACGCTGCCCTCTACAGCTAAGATGCTGAACAACAGCGCAACCTGGACCTGGGCTGCCGTGAGTCACCGGCGACGGCATGGGCTGCAGCCCCTGCTGCAGTGGGTTGCCATGGGCTACCATGTGCAGCCAGCAGCCAGCAAGAGTGGCCAGAAGCGGCCGTGAGCGGCCGTCCAGAAGCCGGCGACTGATGTGTCTCGCCCGGGAAGAGCGCAATGATGGTGCCAACTTGGGCCAGTGAAGCAACGTCCTCCACAACTAGACTGAAGAGCAAAACAACAGCAACTTGTCTGTTCCCCTTTTCCATTAGTAGTTCCCTCAGTTGTCCCCAAAAGCAGGCCATCTAAGCTAAAACACCATGCCTGCAATGGAAACCCAGACAGAATCTCTAGGCCCCACATGCCACCAGACCAATTCATAAACTCATTCACTATTAAAAAAAGAAAAAATAATGGGGCTACTATTGCTTAAGGGCCAAGAATCAACTACACAAAAATGATACACCATGAGCACTAAACTCAGGTATTCTCAAGTAAACCAGTCTACAGCTAAGACTAGGAAGTTTATGCACAACTTATTACTTTTCTCCATCTTAACATGTAAAATCAGCCATCTTTCATAGTTACTTAGACAGCCAGGTCTATGTGAAATATAATTTTTGAGACACAGGCTTAAAAACAGACTATTCTTTCAAATAAAATACATAATGACCCTTTCATTTTTACCCTGTATTAAAGAAATAGTTTTGGAAGCTACATACTTTATGGTGCTTTTGTAGAGATAACGTTTTTTTGTTTAAGATTTAATCAACTATTTGAGAAATATTTCAAATTGTTGGTAAATGAGTCTATTCTTTTTAATTTTGAAATAAAGTATACATCAGGTAAACTTGAAAGAGTAATTTAAAAATAAAGTGAACACCAGCCTAAGAAAAAGAATATTACCAATCCCATCCTTTTGTCTCCTAACAGAGATAACTACCACCCTGAATTTAGAGTTCATTGCTGTCTTGCTTTGCTTTATGGTTTTCACAGCTAACCACTGTATAACATTACAAAGCAAGTTTCTAACATTCTGAAGTAAAATATACAATCTTTAGCAAAAAAATTCTTTCTGATTTTAATAGTCAGATTCTGCTTCCTTTGTTTTAAAAAATACAATGCTAGATTAAATGTCTATTTTTATAAGAGGGACAAAAAGCATTTGACTAACTAAAAATAAAGACTACAAATTTTATTTTAATCAAATTCATCCTAAATTTCAAATTACTTGGGATATAAGCAAGTTCATTAGTCAAGCTCTGAATCACGAAATGAAATTCCTTAATTTTTTAATACAATTTGATTACTGAAGGGGAAACAAAGTAGAAAGCATAAGAAAATAACTACCATAAATTTTCTACTTTGAATTCTGATTAAGAAGTATGTGCAAAATGGCTGCCAAAACCATTAGATAAAAGGTTGCTGAGAAACTCTATAAAGGATCAAATTGACCATACCTGCATCCCTTAATCATCTTAAATCTTAACATCACTAATAGGATAATTAGATTTTATGAGACTCCTGATGTGATGCAATAGAAAGTACACAGCACCACTTAGGAGGTACTCTTGCCAAAATAAAACTGAACCTGAACCTAATCAAGCCTCTACATCTAACAACTAGTTTATAAGAATACAAAGGTTAGAGGAACAAGTTTAAAAATATCATGAAGAATCAATTGGCCAAATCCAAAGAACCTGGTTTCTTCAACAAATAAATGACATTTTTTTTTAATGTTGATAATTTTTGAAGTTGGGTAATGGGCGCATAGGAATTTGTTATACTATTCTTTCTACTCTGGGGTATGTTTGAAATTCTCCATAATAAAGTTTTTTTTAAAAAGAAATATATCTAGTGTACCTATGTGAAACACTGACACATATTCAAAAGCATTTGTAAAATAAAAAGTCTTAAAATACTAACATAGGAACATAGGTGGTGGTACTTAAGAAACCCTTGAAGAATATACTACTACACACTTCCATGATGTCTTTACATTATGTTTGTCAAAGACTACAGTTGACATGTTTATTTTTGTGTGTGAACACTGTCTTCACCATGCAAATCATGGTAAAAGTGGAGGGCTATAGATTGCATGATTATTGCAACATCAGCCTAGGTTGGTATATACCCCCTTAATATAGTTAATACTAGCCATATGGTTGACACATGAGGGTAGCGTGGGAATCTTGAACAGAGAGAGAAAGAGAGAGAGATAGAGAAAGAAAAAATATATACTATACACTATTCATATGGGTTTATACAAAGGAACAGGGACAGAGCAACCAGCATTGAAGGGAAAAGGGGACTTAAAAAATCTTTCTTGGGCCGGCCGAGTGGTGCGTTGGTTAAGAGTTGGCTTGGGACGCCAGCTCTCAGCAGCAGGGCCCTGGTTTGGATCCCACATACAGGGCCAGTGATGCTGCGCCTTCTACAGCTAAGATGGTGAACAACAGCTCGACCTGGAGCTGGGCTGCTGTGAGTCGCAGGCAACGGCATAGGCTGCAGTGGGGCTGGCCGGCAGCTGGCGTGAGCTTTCATGAGCCACCGTGAGCGGCCGTCCAATGGTGAGCAACTGCCTCACCCAGGAAGAGCGCAATGATAACACCAGCATGGGCCAGGGAAACGACGTCCTCCACAACTAGACTGAAGAACAAAAGGACAGCAACTTGTCTGTTCCCCTCCCCCAATTCCCCAATAAAATCTTTAAAAAAAAAATCTTTCTTCATTCACACACATGGTAAAAAAAAAAAAAAAGTCAAACAATAAAAATTACACTTGATCTCAAACATGTTCTCAAACAATGTCACCTTGAAGACTTACGTATTGTTCCCTCACTCAGTCACATATGCAAGATTGTTTCATTTATTTTTCCTCTTTTGTTCTCAAAATGCAACATGTATTAAATAATAACAAATCAAAAATGTAATATTGATGACTTGGTCACAACTTCAAGAATGCCTGCTTTTTATCACCCAAGAGTGCCAATATAAAAATAAACGGAGAAAGTCCCACTATGTGCTTTCAGGTTTTAAAAAGCTGCCTTCAAAAGCTGATAAAATAGAATTTTCAACCTTCTAATCATAAAATTAAGCATGGGAAAGAATATAAAATTTTAAAATGTTTAGAATTAAAGTATTAAAATTTTACTTCTCATGAACTCTTTCAGAAAAAGTTACTAAAATGTGTACTCTACCAAAGAAAAGAGTAAGCTAAGTAAGATGATATAATGAGATACAGATGATATCCAGCCAGGATGCAAAGGCATCCATCAAAGGGAGTTTCCAGGGTGACTGCTGGGCACCACGCATTAAGGGTTATCTATCCTAATTACAGCCACGTAATTCACAGGCCAATGTTGAAGGCTCTATCAGCAAGATTCCCACTGCCACTGTACCATTTTATTGACCTGAGGACACTGCCCAAGTAAGCCTGACCCAAATTTCTCAAGTATACTTGGCTTGTTGGACTATGTAATGATGAAGTTCCCACTCTCTCCTCCATCCTCCATTCCCTGCGACCTAGATAGCAGCTGAGGTTTCTCAACTCACCCCACAGAACACTCTGCTTTGACCTACTCCTGAAACTTTGAGGTAGATCATGGTAAGTTTAGATGCAAAAGATACATGGTTATCCTGTATCTTTTCCTGAACCTATTCCTGCCCAATGCCCACCACCTGTCCCATACTTTGCCCTGCCTGATGTCCTGTGTTGATCCCTGTGTTTCCCAGGACTCACTAATGACCTTGCCCACTGACTACCCCAGGACTCAAAAATTCCAAGGGAAGCAAGAAAGGTTATCCAGACACTCAATTCAGTTTCATATTCTCCTGGGAGCTTTCATCTAAAAGTGCAATGTCCTTACAATAGCTATATTTGTGCGTGCTACTTGGTATGTCAAAAATTAAATCTTAGGGCCGGCCGAGTGGCACAATGGTTAAGAACTGGCTTGGGATGCCAGAGGGCCCCGGTTCGGATCCCACATATGAGGGCCAGTGACACTGCCGTCTGCAGCTAAGATGCTGAACAACAGCTCAACCTGGAGCTGGGCTGCCGTGAGAGTCGCCGGCGACGGCGTAGGCTGC